ATCCCAGGAATGTATATCAGGCCATTCTCATATCCGGAATACCAATGTATATAAATACAAATAATTACATCCAAGATACAAAAATCCACATAATTCCCGCAAATATCCGCAAATCTAAGAATCTGATAAAATTGTATAATTTTGGGATTGTTTAATTAAATAAAAATCAATTTGGATGTACGGATTAGAAGCAAAATATTGATAAGAAAATTGGGAGCAGGGTCATGCCGATGGAAAATACAATCATAATATATCATACCTAATTTTTTGGCCAAACACTCGATACGATCATAAAATTATTAAATTACCTGATTATACAAAATAAATAATATATTTTAGGAATTTGAAATTTCAGGTATATATAATAATAAATTATATATTATTTTTATAAAATATATAAGTGACGGACAAAATTATTTGTTCCCCGTAATTGTCACGGCAAAATTAGGTCGTCCCCTATCGGTTATAAAGATTTTTATTTTTTGATAATATTATCTGATAGAAAATAGTGTTCGTTCCACTAATATAAGTAGAAATAGAAGTAATAATAAAAATAAAAAGGAAATAAAAATATTATTGGGGTAGCAATAATGGTAGCAATAGTAGCACGAGTACCAGCAATAGCAGCAATAATAACAATAGCAGCAATAACAGCAGTAGCAGCAGTAGTAGCAGCAGCAGTAGCAGTAGGAGTAGGAATAGGAGTAGGAGTAGGAGTAGGAGTAGGAATAGGAGTAGGAGTAGTTGTAGTAGTAGTACTAGTAATAGTACTAGTAGTAGTAGTAGTACTATAGTAGTACTAATAGTATTTAGTAATAATAGTAATAATAACCGTAATGATCGTAGTAGCAGTAGTAGCAGTAGTAGTAGCGGTAATAGCGAAAGTAGTGGTAGTAGTAGTAGTAGTGGTAATAGCGGTTGTAGCGGTAATAGTGGTAGTACCGGTAGCAATAAGAGTAGTAAGTAGAACATGGTCTCGGCAAGTGAGAATAATTGTAAAAATAAATATCAATTAGAATATCGGTGAGAATAATACCTAAATTATCGTAAATAATATGTTTTATATATTCCAAGAAAAAACGAATTAAGAATAATTGTTTATAACCCTGTGTATAATCGTTGCTGTAGGATTATTGTAGGAATATATTAAAATTTAGGAGTATCGGTATTAGATCGTCCCCTATCGATTATAAAGTTTTCATAAAAACAAATAAAATACAAGATAATTTTTTATAATTCTTAAATATTATTAATTTTATCGTATATTTATAAAATACAAGATAATTTTTTATAATTCTTAAATATTATTAATTTTATCGTATATTCATATATATATAATAT